GCGCAGGAGGGGAAGGCCCTCTATGAGGTGGATTGATTCGGTGACTGGGGTTATCGGGATGGGAGTGTCAGAGAGTGCAATTGGCAAAAGACAGAGCAGAATTTAGGGCTGTTGTACACAGGGTCGCTATGAGTCGCAAGTGACTCGACTGCACATAACAACAACAACACTGAAGAGAAAATTTTAATCTCATCTGACATCCATCTTGGTGTTTTCTTCCTATTCAATCTTACAGAAATAAACAGGAAGCTAACATGCTTTTAACTTTCGCAAAAAAAACTCAGAGGCAGTGTTCCTCTCCAATAAAAGTAAATAAAAATTTGTTACCTCTGTCTATCTATGAAATTCTTAGAGAAGTATCATTAATTAGAAAGGTTATGGGTATGCTGTCATTTTTTTTTTCATTCAAGCCTGAATATATCTACTCTAATAAAGTGGTACAAGCATGATTTCCACAAAAGCATGTGTGCTTTATTACTTAAGAGCAAGGAAAAGCTCAAACTCATCTGCTTAGTAAATATTCTCACATTCTACTAATTTGTCATCACAAGCAAATGGGAAATACAGTGTTATAACTACACTTTATAAATAATTTTCTTTTTAGAAAAATTTTAAGTTTTATGACCCTTTTATCCAGCTTCATATAAGTTGAATATGAAATTAAAACTCATAAAAGACTGGTAGTAAGGATTTTATAAAAATATATACTTAGGGAGCTCTGGAGACCTAGTGACAAGAAGCTCCACTGCAATCCCAGAGGTACAAGGTTTGAATCCACCAGATACTCTGCTGGAGAAGGAGGAACAATCTCCTCCTGTACCACTCAGATCTGATTTGACAGTACACACACAACAAATAATAAAAAGAAATTAAAAAAAATATACTTATAGAAGGCAAATGAAAAGAGAAACAATAGAAAAGAAGAAAAGATTTACTATGTATGTTGTTGTTGTTGTTGTTGTTATGTGCCATCTGGTTGCCTGCAACTCACAGTGACTCTATGTACAACAGCTCTGAAGCCTGCCCTGTCCTGAGCCAGTCTCACTGATTCTTACACATCTACACTCATTGTCTTAGTTATTGTATCAATCCATCTCATACATGTCTTCCTCTCTGGCACTGACCTTCCACCCTTTTGAGCATGATGTCTTTCTCCAAAGATCAGTCCTTGAAGGCCACATGCCCAAAGTATGTGAAACAGAACTTCAAAATCCTAGCCTCCAAGGAGAAAATTGGTTTCACCCTCTCCAAGACAGACCTATTTGTTTTCTTGGCAATCCATTCAAGACTCTTCTCCAGCACCACAACTCAAAGGCATCAATTCTTCTTTGATCTTCCTTAGTCATTATCCAGCTCTCTGATGTATAGCAAGTAACTGAGAAGACCATGACTGGATCAGGTGCACCTTAGTCTTTAGACTGACATCATTTGCTTCTCAGTACTCTGGAAAGGTCCCTGACAGCAGATGCAATTTGCCTTTGTGGGTCTAGTGTTCCCAGGATCTGTACAGGGCATAAGGCTTTTCACAGCTGGTGACGTGTTTCTCTTTTGCCGCCACGTCTGTCACTATCGAGCAGGAATTTGAGGAGCTGGATGCTCAGAATCGCTGGCAGCAGCTGTACTTGGAATTCTGAAATGAGTCCCCTGACTATCCTCATAGACTGGCCTTGGCCTTATCCAGAAAATAGAAATCGAAACAAATACAGAGATGTGAGCCCATATGATCACAGTCAAGTTAAGCTGCAGAATATTGAAAATTATTATATTAATGCCAGCTTAGTGGACACAGAAGAGGCTCAGAGGAGTTACATCTTAACACAGGGTGAAAAGAAAACCTATTAACTAGGAACACATTTGGTGATACCATCTCAGACAAGAGTCTTATAATGAATGTCTACAGAATACTCCTGGACCTCCAAAAGAAAAAATTGAAAACCCAATTACAAAATGGACAAAAGACATGGAAAGAATTTTTACAGAGGAAGATATTCAAATGGCAAACAGACACATGAAGAAATGTTCAAAATCACTGATAGATGCAAATCAAAACCATGAGGTATCATTTAACTCCAGTAACAGCAGCAAAGTTTAACAGGGCAGCAAGTAATAAATGTTGGAGAGGATGTGGCAAGAAAGGAACACTTACACATTGTTGGTGGGACTGTAAAATGGTGCAACCATTCTGGAAGGCAGTTTTATATAACCTCAAAAAGCTGAACATAGAAATTTTGTATGACCCAGTTATTCCACTACTCAGAATATAACCTAAGAAAATGAGAACTGAGGCACAAACAGAGACTTGTACACCAATGTTCATAGCATTATTCACCATCTCAAGAACATGGAAATAGCCCAGATGTCCAACCACAATCAAATGGGTTGAGAAATAATGTACATTCACACAATAGAATGAATACTACACAGTATGCAGGAGCAATGATTTTATAAATTATTACCTAACTTGGGAGGGACTGAAGAGCATCATGCTGAGTGAACCAACTCAGTCCCACAAAGACAAATATTATATAAAACCATTTTTGTAGAATGAGATAAAGATCCAAGGGAGGGGAGGGTAGAAGCAGAGGGATGAGGATGTGTGGGGTGGTGGTGGTAGATGTATTAATCGTGGGGTTGTACAATTTGATGGGGGGTTTGGAGGGCAAGGGTGAAGGAAATTGGAAGAATCTGCTCTAGAAAACAATGTATTTGAATTTTGTAAATAAACTAGTATTTTTTTTTAAAGTGTTGATTGTGGAGCTGAGCAAGCTGTAACTGTTAACAAACGCAATCTCTTCTCCATCTATTATGGTGCTGCCAATCAGCCCAGTGTTAAGAATCTTTGTCTTCTTGATGTTGAGCTTCAATCCATTTTGAAGACTATAGTCCTTGATCTTCTGCAGCAAGCACTTAAGACCCTCCTCAGTCTCGGCAAGCAAGGTTGTGTCATCTGCATAATGTAGGTTATTGATGAGTCTTCCTCTAATCCTGATGTCACAATCCTCCTCATAAAGCCCAGTATCCGGAATGATATGTTCTGCATATAAATTGAAAAGGTACGGAGACAGGACACATCCCTGATGCACTCCCTTCCTGAGTTTGAAACATTCACAATAAGACCTAGACATATCAAAACGGGTTGGCAGCATAATTCCTTAGCATAAGGCCACTGAAATGCCACATTTTTAAAAAAGGTCACTATTTAACATCCTGCTTTGATATGAATAAAAATACTTCTTTTGTGCCACATACAAAAGGTTTAAAATGGATGAGATTCTCACCCATTTATCATATGACATTTATCAACTAAGAAATGTGAACAATCCTTGGATAGTATTAGAATTCAACTTTGAAAACAAAATTTCACACCACTCTTCTGAGGGTTTTGGATCAAGTCTTGGATAGATTTGTTTGTATATCAAGCTTTTGATAGATTTAACTGAAAACTATAAATTAGAATATTACTTACCCATATGGATCCGAATTTTCTTGTACAATAAAAATTTAGGAGTAAATTATGTTTCTGAAGACATAAGAATGTATCATTCAACTCTGAATTTTCAAGTTCTTGTAATTAAAGTAGTTTCATTGTTCTATTTGATTTTACATTAAGTTTTTATAGCAAGTGAATATTATAAGTGTGAACTTATTAAATTTATTTTTTAGTAAGGAAATTCTGCTTTTATTGGTTTTATATATAGTGTTACTATATGACTTCATTTTGCAAAAGCGTTCTATTATTCTTTTTTTTAACAGGAAAAACTAAGTTGGATTTAAGAATTGCTGAGCAATGATGTCAATTTGTGAACTAAGGTACACCTAATTCAGGCCATGGTTTTTGCAGTCACTTGTCATACATCTGAGAGCTGGGCAGTAAATAAGGATGACAGAAGAACTGATGCCTTTGAGTTGTGGTGTTGGAGAAGAGCACTGAACACCCCGTAGAGGGCCAAAGGAACAAACAGATATGGCTAGCATTTTTCTTGGAGGCAAAGATGACAACTTTTACTTCACATACTTTGGGTATATCGTTAGGAGAGGCTAATACTTGGATATCATGCTTAGAAAGGTTGAGGATCAGTGAAAGCGATAAAGACCCTCAACCAGGTAGACTGACACAGTAACATTGCAACAGGCTCACGTATGTCAGAGATGATAAGGATGGCACAGGATAGGGCAGTGTTCAGATCTTCAGTTCACAGAGTAGCTATGAGACATACTCAACTTGATAGTGCCTAACAATCACACTGCATTGTAGCAATCAAGAGATGAGGAAACATATTCCATTGGGAAGTCTACTGTCAGGGACTTCACCAAATTCCTGAGAAGCAATGATGTCAGTTTGAGGACTAAGGTGCACCCAATTCAGGCCAGGGTCTTTGCAACCACTTGCTATACATCTGACAGCTGGACAATGAATAAGGATGACAAAAAAACTGATACCTTTCAGCTATGGTATTGGAGAAGAGTACTGAATGATCCCATGGACTGCCAAAAGAACAAACTGGTGTGTTTAGGAGAAAGCATAACCAGAGTGCTCCAGGAAGACAAAGATGACAAAGCTTTGCCTTGCATACTTTGGGCATGTTGTTAGGAGAGGCTATTCCTTGGAAAGGGACATCATGCTTGGAAAGTTGGAGGGTCAGTAAAAGCGAGGAAGACTCTCAACCAGAAAGATTAATACACTGGCTGTAGCAATGGGCTCAAGTAAGTCAGAAATAATGAGGATGGCACAAGACAGGGTTCAGATCTGTTCACATGGTCACTATAAGTCGTACTTAACAACATCCAAAAACAACAATAATGCCTAATACTGAGATCAAGAAACTTGTAGACCTTTAAAAAGAAGAGTATAGACTGCTGTGAGGAGACAATCACTGTGGAAACAACTAACTGTGTAAGACACTGAATATGACATAAATCACTCAAATCATTGTTCAACAAATAGAAACAGTATTTATTTCCATCAAATTCTGCATGATAAATATTACTGTAATACTTACTGGTGCTACAATCTTTCCTGTCTGTCCAACTTGCATATCATTGGGAACAAAGCCAGCATCAACAGCAGCACGGGAAGCACCAACTAAGGAGAAAAAAAGAATTGTTATTTTTCTCAAGTCATATGGTTTAATTAGTTATGATATATTAACTTATATTTATAAAAAATATATTTGCATTAGCAATTTTTTACTAAGGCTTTACTTTAAAAGATTTTTCCCTATAACTGATTCTGATTCAGGATTCTAAATTTAAGTACTAATATATTTTATAGAAGAATCTGGTAGACTAGTGGATAAGGAGTTAGCCTGCTAACTCAAAGGCATTTGGTTCAAATCTACTAGCTGATTTGAGAAAAACATAAGCAATCCCCTCCTGTGGGATTTACAGCCTCTGATAATGCCCTGGAGGGTCAGCTATGAGGTAGTACTGCCTCAACAGCATAGAAAAATACCAACTAATACACAATATTATGTTTAATGTATGTGATACAGGATAGGGCAAAGGTCTGATCTGTTGTTCACAGGGTTGCTATAAGTCCAAGGCCACTGGATGGCAAATAACAACAGTGTCAGAAGAAAAATGAGACCTCAAAGACATAGTCACTTCCTAATTTCCAGAACTCATGACTATTATTTTATTCGGGGGAAAAGAATTGTTACCATATTACATGGTAAAAAGACATGATAAAAATGAGCTTATCCAAGATTATCCAGGGGTTCTAGATGTGTTCTCAAAAAAGAGAAACAGAATGAAATTAAATAAAGACACAACAGAAAAGGTATTGTGAAGACTGTGGCAGAGAGCAGAGTAATGCAGCTGTACACCTCAGCATGAAAGTGAGGGCAGCTATTCGAGGCTGAAAGAATCAAGAACATTCTCCGCCAGGGCTCCTGGAAAGAATGTGGTCCTGCCAGCATCTTGAGTTCAGATTTCAAGTCTTTTTGACTGTGAAAAAATAAATTTTTGTTGTTTTCAGGCACCAAGCTTATGGTCATTTGGTATAGTAGTTATAGGAAATTATTATAACTTCTGTTTCACAGAACTAGAAATGTGTTAAGTTCTATGAAAACAGACATTTCTGCTGATGTTGTTCACTGCTAGTTCTCTAGTATCTAATATCATATTTACCAAAAGGCAGAATACTCAGTAAATAGCTGTTGAATGAATTAATAACCATTATAAGTAAAATAATGCCATCTGATTCAGACAAAACCATAACTATCTCTATGGATAGATAAATTATGTAATGCAAAATGGTAAAGCCTAAAAAATTACACATAACACTATTAGTAAAGGGAGAAGAGGCGGAATTGGTTCTGATGGTCAGGGATAATTTTAACCCTATGTATAACATTTTCATTAGGCTCCCATTGAGTCCAGAGACTTTCTTTTTTGCCAGTGTTTTCAGTGCAGCTGGAATGTTCCTTCTTTACCATTGGCTCTTGATCATACGGTACTTTCTGAAATATTTCATTCCTTGTTGGGCCAGTTCTTTTTGGTACAGTGAATCTGGGTATTTTTCCAATTTCTTTTTATTTTATACTGGTTTATTTACAGAGTTTGAATACATTGTTTTTCACACCAGACCTTTTCCATTTCCTTCACACACCTCCATCAAATTGTGCGACCATATTATTAACCCCACCCCCACCCATCCTCTCTCCTTTGATTCTACCCCTCCCTTGAATCCTCATACTCATTCCACAATGGTTTTATCCTATTTGTCCTTATGGGACTGAGTTAGTTCACTCGGCATAATGTTCTCCAGTCCCTCCCAAGTTAGGTGGTGATTTACAAAATTATTGCTCATTCCACTGTATGAATGTACTGTGATTTCTCAATCCACTAGATTGTGATTGGACATCTGGGCTGCTTCCATGTTGCAATGGAGAGTAATGCTCTTAGAAACACTGATGTACACATCTCTGTTTGTGTTCCAGTTCTCATTTTCTTGGGGTATATTTCAACCAATGGAATAGCTGGGTCATATGGAATTTCTGTGTTTAGCTTTTTGAGGAAGCCCCAAACTGCCTTCCAGAGTGGTTGCACCATTTTACAATCCCACCAACAATGTATAATAGTTCCTATATCACCACATCCTCTCCAACATTTATAACTTGCTGTCCTGTTAAACTTTGCCACTGCTACTGGGATGAAATGGTATCTCATTGTGATTTTGATTTCCATCTCTCTTATTGCCTGTGATTTTGAGCATTTCTTCATGTATCTGTTGGCCATCAAAATATCTTCCTCTTTGAAAATTCTTTCCATGTCTTTTGCCCATTTTGTGATTGTGTTACCAGACTTTTTTTTGTGGAGGCCCAAGAGTATTCTGTAAACTTTCATTATGAAACCATATTGTCAAATATTTGTTTCTAGTCAATAGGTTTTCTTCCCTCCATTTTCTTTTGATGTTTCCTGGATCATTTAAGATTTTGCCCATAACATCTCTTAGTATTGTGACTAGAGGCTTGAATTTGTTTTCCAGTTCTTTCAGCAGTCTATGCCAGGAAATCTGGAGGACAGCTGCCTGGCCAAATAACTAGAGGAGGTCCATATTTGTTCCAATTCCCAAGAAAGGTGATTCAACAGAATGTGGAAACATTATCATCAATATCACATGCAAGTAAAATACTGCTGAAAATCCTTCAAAAACAGCTATCAGGGTACATAGACAGAGAACTGTCAGACATTCGAGATGGATTTAGAAGAGGCCGTGATACCAGGGATATCACTGCTGATGTCAAATGGATCCTGACTGAAAGCAGAGAATACCAGAAGGATATCCATTTGCCTTTTTTTGATCATACAAAGGCAATTAACTGTGGGGGTCATAACAAATTATGTTTAACATTAAGAAGAATGAGATCTCAGAACATTTAATTATGCTTGTGAGAAACCTATACCTAGATCAAGAGGATAAATTGTGAACAGGGCAAGAGAATATTACATGGTTTAAAATTAGGAAAGGTGTGCATTAGGGTTGTATCCTTTCTCCATAACTACTTAATTTGTATGCTTAGCTTATATTATTAGAGAAGCTGGACTCTCTGAAGATGAACATGGCATCAGGATTGGAGGAAAACTCATCAACAGCCTGCATTATGCAGATGACACAATTTTGTTTGCTGAAAGTGAGGATATTATGAAATTCTTGCTGCAGCTCAAGGACTACAGCCTTTGGTATGGATTATATCTCAACATCATGAAAACAAAGGTCCTCACCACAGGAGCAACAGTTAACAATATGATAGATGGAGAAAGGATTGATGATGTCATTGAGATTTCATCTTGCTTGGATCAACAATCAATACTTTTGGTATCAGCAGTCAGGAAATCAGGAGATGCACTGCATTGATCTCTCCAAAATGCTGAAGAGCAATGACGTCAGTTTGAAGACTAAGGTGTATGTGATTCAGGCTGTAGTCTTCTCAATCACCTGTGATGCATCAGAGAGCTGGACAGTGAATAAGGATGACAGAAGAAAAATTGATGCCTTTGAATTGTATGCTGGGAAAGAGTGCTGAATATCCCATGGACTGTCAAAAGAACAAATAGATATGTTTTGGAGAAAGTGCATTCAGAGTGCCCCTTGGAGGCAAAGATGATAAAGTGTTGTCTCACATATTTTGGGCATGCTGCTAGGAGAAGCTGTTCCTTGGAGAGAGACAGCATGCTTGTAAAGGTGGAGAGACAGCCAAGGAAAGGAAGACCCTCAACCACGTGGATTAAAGTGACTCCAGCAATGGGCTTGAGTGTGTCCGAGATTGTGAGGATGGCACAGGACAGAGTTCAGATCTTTTGTTCATAGGGTCACTATGAGTATACTCAACTCGATGGCACCTAACAACATCATAATTTGTCAGTTTTGTAAAGGAAACTAAATTTAGGTTATATTTGTGTGATTAAAATTAATCTGAAATGTTTTCAATATTTTTAATTTTTCAGAACACATTTCATTTTCATCCTATATTTTTAACAGGTTCCATTTCTCCTATAAATTGTTAACTTTTCATCAACAAATTTTAATAATAAGTTCTACTTCTACAAATTGTTAACTACAATATAAAATCATTCTAAATATCTATTACATGAGGTATTTATATTAGACTTCAAATAAAAAGGAAAACAAGGGCATTTCATAATCTGAAGTGGATACTGAAGCTGATATTTAAGTATTTTTAAAATAAAAATAACTATTAAGATTCAGCAAATATAAGAATGTCACATAAGGGGAGCTCTGGTGGCCTAGTGGCAAGGAACTGCAACTACAATCCCAGAGGTGCATGGTTCGAATCCACCAGATGCTCTGCCAAGGAAGGAGGGACAATCTCCTCCTGTACCAGTCAGATCTGATTTGACGGTACACGCACACAAAAATAATAATAACAATAAAAAAAAAAAGAATGTCACATAAAACAGATACTCTGCTGGAGAAGGAGTGAGAATCTCCTCATGCACCAATCAGATTCTATTTGACAATAAACACACAAAAATAAAACAATTAAAAAAATTTAAAAAAAAAGAATTTTACATAAATATTGAAATGTACAAAGATAACTAAATGCTTGTTTGAATGCACCTTACATCACTTAGAGGCCTCTGCTTCAAAAAAGCCCAAAATTACAGAAAATGAAGTCATTTGTAGCCTTAACTGACATATACATAAATAAAATGAGACTAAGTATTTACAAAGTGAAACATTTTTCTACTAAAGAAAATAACTTTACCTGCAGCATGGAGTTGATCTGCCAAGTCATACAACAACTTAAAGTTCTCTCCACTCTTCAAACCCCGACCTTATTAAAAAGAAACAACAAAAAACAAATTAAGGAAATAAAAACTCGTTCTTTGTATACATTTTTTAATTTACCATATTAAGCATACCATTTTCTTTATAAAGTCTTTCCTGATATCTCTGGTTACTTCTGTTCTTGTCCTTATACCTGTTCTCTCTACAAGACATCCAACAGTATTATAAACAGCTACTTAATATTTAGGAAGCTCTGGTGGCCTAGTGGCAAGAAGAACCTGTACTGCAACCACAAGAGCACGCAGTTCAAGAACCACCAGCTGCTCCTTGGGAAAAGAATTGACATTCTCCTCCTGGATGGTCAGCTATGGCTGAGTTCCAACTCTATGGTAATAACAAGAATAACAGTTAATAATTACATAACTAGTCTTTAATATTGGTCATCTTCATCTGAACGAAGATCCTTAATTGCAGGGTCTGTGTCTATCTCAGTTACTGCTATATTCATAGTACTTCGCAAAATTCATTCCACATAGTAAATGCTCAAAAAATATTAGCTCAATGACTAAGGTTTTTTATAGGTTAAAAAAAAAAATCAAAAAACGTATATGTATAGAAAACTTTGACAACCTAATGATAAAAAAAAAATAACAATTTAGACAAAGGACCTTGAATACCTATTTCACCAAAGAGGTCACTTAAACGGCTAGCAGATACCTAAAATGATACTCACTGTCATTAGACGTCAATTATGCAAATCAAAGCCACAGAGAAATACCATTTAACCCTCTGTAAGAGGACTAACATAGAGAGAGCCCTGTTGGCTTACTGGATAGAACGTTATGCTACCAAGCCAAACGTGGGTGATTTTAATCTGAGGTCCTCAGGCCTGATTTTTTTTTTTGGTCAAACATTCTTCTAAGTGGTATAGCACAGGTCTGTCAATTTGCTGTTTAGAGGTAACTCATGGTTTCTGTGATGCTAAACACTGTGACACTGATATGTCAAATGTGATAACAGTTATGCTACTCAAGGTGTGACACTGATATGTCAAATGTGATAATAGTTATGCTACTCAAAGTGGACAGTGTTTGGTGGAGCTTCCAGATTAAAACAGACTTAGAAGCAGGAGTGGCATTCACTTCCTAAATAGCTTGCCTCAGGAAACTCTATGAACTTAGAGAAACGATCAAAGTTATACAAGTGTTCAGGCCTTTTGTTCATAGGATTGCTATGAGTAGTCTGTGACATGACAGCACTTAACAACAACAAGAGGAGAAAAAAATTTTTTAGAAGAGAAAATAATAAATGCTGAGGAAAAAAATGGGGAAATTGGATGTCTTTATCTATTGCTGGTGAGAATGCAAAATGATACAGCTGCTCTAAAAAAAAAAAGAGTACTGGCAATTCCTGAAAAAAGACTATATAGTGCTCAGAAGCAATGCTGAAAAATATTATATAACATGGGAGAGGGTGGAGAGAGCATTATGCTGAGTGAACTAACTCAGTCTTGTAAGGACAAATATTGTGTAAGACTATTATTGTAAAAACAGAAGGATAACTAGTAAAATGTACATAAAAGTCCAAAGGGGTAAGAAGGAGCTGAGGGGCTGAGGATGGAGAGGAGGGAAATCACAGGGTCACAGAGTTTCGTGGGTAGAGAGATGGAGTGGAATAATTAGGAAAGATCCAGTGGGGGCCTGAAAAGAAAGGGTAACAGTGATCAACGGTGATTAATTTTATAAAACACAATATATGGAAATGATCTTATGAAACACAATGTGAATAAAGGAATGAGTGAAACACAATGTATATAAATGAGGAGGAATGTGGCCTCAGGGCTGGAGGTAGACTCATCAACAACCTTCCTATGTAGATAACACAACCTTGCTTCCTGAAACTGAAGAGGACTGACATGCTTGCTGCAGAAGATTAAGGACTACAGCCTTAACCTCAACATCAAGAAAAGAAAGTTTCTCACCACTGGGCCAACTGTCAGCATCATGGTAGACGGTGAAGAGAGTGACATTGTTAACACCTTCAGTTTGCCTGGTGTCACAATCAACACTCTTGGTACCAACAGTCAGGAAATCAAAAGATGAACTGCACTGGGAAAGTCTGCTGTTAAGAACCTCTTCAGATCACTGAAGAGCAACGATGTCAGTCTGGAGACTAAGGCACGCATACATGATCCAGGTCATGGTCTTCACAAATACTTACGATGCATCAGAGAGCTGGAAAATGACTAAAGATGACCAAAGAAGAATTGATACCTCTGTGTTGGGGTGCTGAAGAAGAGTATGGAACATACCATGGACCACCAAAAGAATAACAGGTCTGTCTTAGAGAAGGTAAAACCAGGCTGCTCCTTGGAGGCAAGGATTCTGAAGCTCTGTCTGACATATTTTGGGCATGTTACAAAGAGAGACCAGTCCTTGGAGAGAAACATCATGCTTGGGAGGGTGGAAGGACAGCACAAGAGAGGAAGACCCTGGACGAGATGGATTGATTCAATCACTGGAGTAATGGGGGTGGGTATGTCAGAGACAGGTTAGCTCAGGACAGAGGAAAGTTCACAGCTGTCATACATAGGGTCTCTATGAGTTGCAAGTGACTTGACAGCACATAACAACAACAGCAATGTGAAAACCAACTAAAAAAAAAGATTTGTATACCAATCATTGTGTTGCTGGGTGTTGTGTACCATCAAGTTGGAACCGACCCATAGCTGACCTTCTGGCAGGTTTTCAGAGGCAGTAAATTGCACAGGAGAATCTTGCCCATCCTTCTCCCGCAGAACAGCAGGAGGATTTGAACCATGCGCCATAGAGATTGCAATGCAGTTTCTTGCCACTAGGCCACCAGTGCTGCAGCACTATTTAAAACAGTCAAAAATGGAAACAACTCAAATACCTAAACAGATGAATGAATAATAAAAATGTAGTTCAGTTCTAGTTTAAAGGGGCGAGGAGAAACTTGGGAGATGTGGTTGTCAGTCACTGCTTCCATCTTCCTTGGCCGCATGTTCCACCACTTGGGCCTTGGCCCAGAGTCCCACAGTCACCTATTATGGGATCGTGGCACCTGGGATTGTGGCACAGTGGGTCTGTGGACAAGATGAGAGGCTATGTGGAGAAGTTTATGAACTATATGGGAAGCTGGGAGACATCAAGGAATGAGCTACGTCCATGGCTAACTTTGGCTGACAGAAGGATTTGATTCCAAAGTTGTTTAAAGTGCTAGCCCTTTGATTCCAAGATCAGAATGGAGGTTAAAATGCTGCAGATCCCAAAAAAAGAAGGGAACAGGATCGGGCCAAGATGACAGTGATGGAATACAAAGGAAACTGCCTCCCACCACCTCGCAGACAGCAACCTCACAATCCTAAACCAGCTGCTGCACGGCCTTCAGTGAGACCTCACCCAGAAAAAGAAAGCCAGCATCCACAGCTTCTCTATAGCTAAAACATAGGAACAGAACTAGGACAGGCCTGTCTGTAACCATGTTTGCAGGCCTTTGACACTCTCTTGATCTCCGAGAAAAACTATATATAGAGCTGTAAAATGAACAGTCTTACTGGAGCTGGAATCTTAAATCTACCATATGAATATTAAAAAAAAAAAAGTGGTACATACATACAATAGAAAACTACCCAGCCTGCCGGCAGAATACTACCAGCCAGCTGGAATAACGAAGTTTGGATACATGCTATACTATGGATAGAGCTGCAAGACATTACGCTGAGTAAGATAAATTATATACAAAATAACAAATATTGCATGACCTTGTTGTTGTTGTCAAATCGAGTATGACTAATAGTGATCCTGTAAACAAGATCTGACCCATGTTCTATAGTGTGTCATCCTCACACTTTCTGACACTCAAAAGCCCACCACAGCAGTCACTGTCAATTCACTTGGTTAAGGTCTTCCCATCCTTCACCAATCTCCACCTTTCCCAGTATCATGTCCCTCTGCCCAAAGTATGTGAGGTAAAGCCTCAAGAATGTTATCTCTAAAGACCATTCTGGCTGCACCTTCTCTAAGACATATTTGTTTGTTCTTTTGGCTATCCATGAGATCTTCAGTGCTCTTCTCCAATAATAGCACAGCTCAAAAACTTCTAGGTGGTACAGCATTCGTCTGTCAGTTTGCTGTACTGAAATAATTTAGAATTGTTTTGATACTAAAAGCTGTGCCACTGGTGTGACAAATGCCATAAGGTAACAGGTTTTGGAGTTCCCTGATTAAGACACATTAGGAAGCAGGATGAGCCATCTTCCTTCGTTCCTAGAAATGTTTCCCAAGAATCTCACCCACATCGTGTACTGAGGGTGTTGTACCGAAACATGTACCCTTTACTACCAACGGTATCAAATGTAGCAGCCAATTCTTACCACACGGGATTTGACTGAAAAGCAGCCCTGAAAGAAGTAAACTCACAGAGTTTAATTCTTAAACAGTAGGCCTTTGAAAACCTTATGAACACTAAAGGAATGAGGATTGCGTGACCTTACATGAAAAAGGTGAAAAAGACAAAATAAGGCAAATGATTAGAAAACAAAGTTTATTCATTAGTTATGGGGATGGGGTGGAAGGGTAAAAGAGGAGTTAATGGTGACAGCTAAAGCTGCATAGCCAATTATTACTGACTGCTGTCAATAAGTTGGTAAAAGCTGTGTGACAGATAAAGGTTCAGTGATAATAGAGAAAATCTAGAATAGTTGCTGAGGCTGCTTGTATACAACCAAATGCCTAACAGGATTTGGGTCCTTCGTTTGGAGGTTTAGGGTTATGATTTTACAGGACATTCCAGTAACTGTCCCAATGACATACTTAGTGCTTCTTTTAGTCTACTTCCTGTTCACTGGATATTGCTTAGGGTCTTAAAAACTTACAAGCTTTCATCCAAGGCACAAAATTGTTCTTAATAGCACTGGGAGAAACACAGGGGAAAGGTGAGTTAGTAATAATAGAAGGATGTTATGAAATGTGTGACTAATTGTTTCCGTGAACTACCTCCTCTGTCAGGAAACCAGAAGAAATTAATGGTGTCCAGCTATCATTACTGAGAATTTTGATTAAAGATTCTGATCAGAAGAAGGAAAAATGTAGAACAAGGTTTTAAATTCTCCTACATTCTGGACTTTCCAAAACCACTGAGGTAAATGATGAACACCTGAAACATTTGTCCTGAGATGTTTTTTTAAACCTTAAACCAAACACATAGAGACAAACTGGGGTCAAGCTTAGATGTCTAGTCTATGGTATGGAGACTGCCAAATACAGCCAAAAATGCACAATCTGGAGAGGATAAAATTGATCAGTGGGACCTTCTAAAGATTAAATCCCTGTGCACATAAAAAATACTTTCCAACAGAGTGAAAAGAAAACCTACTGACTAAAAAAAACATTTGGCAATATCATCTGAGACAAGGGTATCTTATCAAAAGTTTACAGAATCCTACAGGACCTTATCAAGAAAATAACTGATAATACAATTACAAAATAGGGAAAAGACATGGAAAGAATTTTCAAAGAGGAAGATATTAAGATGGACAACATAAACATGAAGAAATGTTCAAAATCACTGGCAATAAGAGAGATGCAAATCAAAACCACAATGAGATTCCATCTCACGCCAGTAGCAGTGGCAAAGTTTAACAGGACAGCAAGTAATAAATGCTGGAGAGGATGTGGCAATATAGGAACTCTTATACATTGTTGGTGGGATTGTAAAATGATACAACCACGCTGGAAGGTAGTTTCGAGTTTCCTCAAAAAAGCTGAACATAAAAATTCCATATGACACAGCTATTTCACTGCTTGAAATATACTCTGAGAAAATGAGAATTGAGGCATAAATGTGGATTTGTATACCAATGTTTATAGTAGCACTATTCACCATTGCAAGAACATGGAAATAGCCCAAATGTCCAAACACAATCAAATGGATTGAGAAATTATGGTACATTCACACATTGAAGTACTATGCAGCAAGCAGAAGCAATGATTTTTTTAAATCACTACCTAACTTAGGAGGGAATGGAGAGCATTATGCTAAGTGAACTAACTCAGTCCCATTAGAACTGATATAAGACCACGATACTGTATAAGACCATTATTGTAGAAAGAGTATGAGGATCTGGGGGGGAGAGGGGAGTAGAGGGTGGGGATTGGGGGTGTTATTCATAGGGTCACACAAGTTGATAGCTGGGGGGGGGGGAGGGGTTTCAAAGGGAATGGGAAATATCCAGTGTGAAAAACAATGTCTATGAAGTTTGTAAGTAAACCAGTATAAAATAAAAATTTTATTTAAATTTTAAGAAAATAAATAAAACAATAGTCATGCTTATCTGATAAAGCCTGCCATTATGTTTGTGACATTATTATCATATATGAGATCAAATTCTCATATGACAATTCAAAAGCTTAGAATGGAGTACTGTGAGTTTGTTAATGAGGGAGGATCAGCTCAAAAAAGGAGGGTCTGAATGGCTGCACAATTCAAAGAACATAAAGTCATAAAATTACACATTCTGGTTTTTTGTGTGTGTGCCCACAGAACTGACCCACAGCTGACCCTTGCAGGTTTTCAGGGGCAGTAAATCCCATGAGAGGAGACTGCCCTCCAGACATATAAACAAAGGTTAAAAAAAAAGAAACTGGTCTAGTGCAACACTGATTGTATATTGGAGGTGAAGAAATATTCAAAGATAGTTACAGAGACCTGGACAGGACTGGAAGTCTTTTAAAGTTGAGTGAACAATAGATCATAAAAGAAAATCCTGCAATTCCAACTAGTTTTTCTTCAGAAGCCAACCATTCTCGGCAGATTTCCCAGAGGTACGTGGTTTGAATCCACAAGATGCTCTGCTGGAGAGGGAGAGGCAATCTCCTCCTGTACCAGTCAGATCTGATTTGATGGTACACACATAAAAAATAATAATTTTTTTTTAAATGTGAGTCAATAAGAAAAAAAAACCCAATACACAAAACAACAAGTTGTAAAGTTATGAAGATGAGTCTCCCTTGTGCCAGTGATACAAGCTTGTAAAAGACAGTCCAAATTGTCTATTATGCTCATTACTGAGTTCATTTTCCAAGTTGGTGAAATACAAGAATATTTGCCATGTACTTACTTTTTATAGTTAGGAAAAAAAAGCTATGCTCCTCTGAAACAAACAATAAAGTAAATTTTTTCAAGTTTACATCATATTTATAAACTCCTAAGTTATATTATTACACTCACCACCAGACACCACCACTTTAGCACCAGTCAGCTCAGGTCGATCACTCTTTGTTAATTTCTGGTCAAGCCATTCGGATATGCCCACCGGTGAAGAACTTGATGCTGCACACATTGAAAGAAAAAAAAAAGTCTGTGATTTAAAGTTTGATAATGGGCAATTACTTTTATGAGAAACAAATATATATTAGTAAACATAAGTTTGTTAGTTACTTTTAATTTTCTGTGTTCCTGATCTGAATTTTTATTATTTGGAAAGTGTCAAAGTGTCAAAATACCCTAGCCTTTACTTATTACCTGTAGGACGTTTGAGAAGTTATGTGAAGCTATAAAACTAGTATATTCTCTATTGAGTTCAAATAAGTTACCATATATGTTAGAGTAAACATGTGTACTTACTATTATGCTAAACTTCCCAAGAACTATGGAAATATTGAGAAGAGAGTTTAAAACTTTAATATAACAAACAGACCTAAATTGTATCTCTCTTTCCCATCTCCTTTACTCACAAAATCAGCTACCAAGAACTATGTGCAAAAGTTATAAATTATGAATATTTCCAATTATGTTATACTAGCTTGGTATGAAAAGATCGAGGTTTCAAATTCTCTGTATCAGAAATTTAACTCCAGTTTATCTACAATCCAGTCATCTATAATCTAATATAATCTGAATTAAAGATGAAAACATAACACTCACCCTTTTCTGAATTAGCACTACCTCCACTTGTTTCTGCAGCTTCAAAAGACGTTCCACGCACAGAAAACACCTTCACTTTCTCATCACATTTCACGGTACACAAAGCGTTTCCTGTAACATACAATTTATTTTTACAAACAGAACCCTTCAAAAACCAACAACAAAAAAGTATTTCTTTGAGGTGCAAAATATCTTTCACACAGACAAGGTAAGAAAATAACTGTGAACTCCCTGTTTTCTGGGGAGTCTTGGGGGCCTACAGGGTTAGGCCTCTGCACTGAGAACCTGAAGGTGGCACCTCTCTGGCTATTCTAATGTAAATGGGCAGTCTCCTCCCTGTGCTATTTATATAGCCTTAGAAACCTACTGAAGGGTCAGCTGAAATACTATTAAGGAACACTTTCCCTAAAAGGAATACAAACAAAACTTCCTTTTTAAGGAAAAAGAAAGAAATATTTTTCCTAAAAGGAATAAAAACAAAAACTTTCTTATTTAAAAAAAAATTTAAAAAACTAAAATCAGTAACAATACAAACTGCCACAAGGTATTAAAAATAAAGTTACTGTTCATCTTATGGAGGAAAATATATGTTAACAACATAGGACACAAAGGACAGAAGTGTGGATATGCCAAGACTTTAAAAGGATCTGAGGCATTTTATGGATTAACAATCACATCAAGAGTGACCTAAAATGTGATCACATATTTCCCCTCAAACATTACTGAAGATAAAAGGTTTGATTTGAAAATTGAGCATTTATAATGAAACATACAACTTCAATCAAGAAAAAAAGTTCTGCAACCTACAGCCCCACTGGAGCATAGTATGCTAAGCAAGAGATCAATCAACTCAAGAGACAGTGAAATGAATTTCTTAATGCAGATGGAACAAAAGAAAAGATCAAGAATACTTATTTAAAAAGCAACTTTGCTTTCGCAAGTGTCACTTACAAAATATGTAGAACTAGTAATTTTTTTCTTGACCACTGGGGGGAAAAAAATCTCACTGCAATGAGCAAGAGGAAAAAGCGCATTGGCTTAATCACAAAGAATACCAAGTTAGGGTTCAACAGTGACTGTAAGATGAAGGTTGTCTCCAGACAGCTTTAAGAAACAAATTTAATTCTGAAATCCTATCTTCAAGATCTTCAACATATGAGCAAGAGCCTATGGTGATGAAAGAAGAAGTTCAGGCCGCTTTGAAGGAAATAGCAAAAAATAAGGCCCCAGGAATAGATGGTATACCAATTGACATATTTCAGTTAATAGATGCTGCCCTGGATGTGCTCACCAAGTTGTGCCAAGAAATCTGGAGAAGAACCACTTGGCCAACTGACTGGAAGAGATCTGTATTTGTTCCCATCCCAAAGAAGGGTGACCCAACAGTGTGTGGAAACTTAGAAAAATATCATTAATTTCACATGCAAGCAAGATTCTACTGAAGATTATCCAAAAATGACTGGAACAACACATCAGCAGAGAACTGCCAGAAGTCCAGGCTGGGTTTAGAAGGGGTTGTGGTATTAGGGATATTGTAGCTGATGTTAGATGGATCTTAGCTGAAAGTAGGGAATATCAGAGGAATGTATATCTGTGTTTCATTGACTATGCAAAGGCGTTTGACTATGTGGATCATAACAAACTGTGGGTGACTCTGAGAAGAATGGGAATCCTAGAACACTTGATTGTGCTAATAAGAAACCTATACTTGGACCAAGAGGCAGTCATCAGAACAGAGCAAGAAAACACTGTATGGTTCAAAATTGGGAAGGGCGTAGGCCAGGGATGTGTTCTGTCTCCATACCTTTTAAATTTGTATGCAGAACAGATTATCCAGGAGGCTGGGCTCTATGAGGAGAAATGTGGGGTCAAGACTGGTGGAAGATCTATAAACAATTTGCATTATGCAGATGACACAAGCCTGCTTGCTGAAACTGAGGAGGACCTGAAGCACTTGCTGCAGAGGGTCAAGAACTGCAGGCTCCAATATGAATTGAGGCTCAATATCAAGAAGACAAAGATTCTCACCACTGGGCTAATTGGCAGCATCAGGATGGATGGTGAAAAGATTGAGATTGTTCACAGCTTTAGTTTGCTTCGCTCCACAGTCACTCTCAGCACCAGTAGCCAGGAAATTAAAAGACATATTGCGATGGGAAAGTCTGCTGTTAGGGACCTCTCCAAAGTACTGAAGAGCAATGGTTTCTCTCTGGAGACTAAGGTGGATCTGATACAGGTCATGATCTTTGCTATCACTTGTTATGCATCAGAGTTAGACAATGAGTAAGGAGGATAGAAGGAGAATTGATGCCTTTGAGCTGTGGTGATGGAGAAGAGTATTGAGAATACCATGGATTGCTAGGAAAACAGATTCATCCTGAAAAGGGTCAAACCGGGCTGCTCCTTGGAGGCAAGGATTCTGAGGCTCGGTCTAACATACTTTGGACATGTTATAAGCAGGGACCAATCCTTGGAGAGGGACATCATGCTTGGTAGGGTGGAGGGACAGTGCAGGAGGGGAAGGCCCTCTATGAGGTAGATTGATTCAGTGACTGGGATAATCGGGACGGGTGTATCGGAGACGATGTGATTGGCACAGGACAGAGCAGAGTTTAGGGCTGTTACACATAGAGTCGCTATGAGTCGCAAGCTACTTGACGGCACATAACAATAACAACATCTTCAAGATTAAGTTCTATTTTTAAATTTTACCAATAGTTAACAGGTTGAGAATTATCTTCTTTAGGTTCTTACCTGCATAAATGGTTCTTACAAACGTGTCAGGTGACTTGATCTCAATGATGTCAGAGACTGGGGCAACATCAAGTTTGGCTGCTACTCTGGGCAAAAGGTTCTAAAAGCAAATTAAGCTGTGAGTTACCAACATATACGCTGAATTGATATTCATATGTTATCAGCAAATTCGTTCTTTGAGTGCATTTTCTGTAGAGATGTCAATTTATTGCATTTTATTCATTTAGGCATACTACAACTTTAAGCACGGCTTTTTAAATAGCCTTTGGGATTAAGTGAAAATATATCATCATTGTAATGACACTAAGAGTTTTATGAGTTTTTGAAGATTACAGGCAAGAAATCCTACGAGGTATTTCTATATTGTCACATGTAGTTGGTATGAATTGAAAATGCTTGACAGTCTCTAACAACAGTAAGCAAACCTCCTAAATCACTATGTTGAATTACAAGCCATAATAAAGAGAGCAGCAAGGATATTTCTATAAGCTTTTCCTTATATAAGCATGTAATATCACTGTAATAGACACAAATATTGTTACGAAGAGAGTGTGGCTTTGCTCTCACTAACTGGGATTCTAGGAAAGCCACACTCTTCTCAGGTCTCAATTACCTAACCTTAAAATGAGAGGAAGAAAACCTTTTCCCTTCTAGTCTAAGATGCTATGAGTGCCTCTGAAAACCTGCTGGAGGGTCAGCTATGAGTCAGTTCCAACTTGAAAGCAAACAACAAGGCTCTGAAGCAGAGTTACTGAAGACTGACATATTCACACTTTCTAGATTCAAAGTTATTCTTAGATGATTATTAAACTTAACACTAAATAATCACAAAAAAAGTGTAGTGTTGCTTTTGTGACATAAACAGAAAAACTAAAGTCTCTTCTGCTTTCTACACAGAGCTTATTCTATCACATCTCATGAACTTGGTACATATCACTGCCTCCTGTGGGCACACTCAAATCCCTCTCCCCTTCTAAATCCAAACTCTCTCTCTAGAGAGCTCTGGTGGCTTAGTGGTAAAGAGTTGGGTTGCCAACCCAAAAGACACTCAGTTCAAGCCCACCAGCTTTCTCTACAGGAGAAAGATGAGCAATCTCCTTAACTGCCTCGGAAAACCCACTGGAAGGTCAGCTATGGGTTGGTTCTGACTCGACAGTACACTTGACGACTGTCTTGGATAAGTGCGTGTGGCTGGATGTTCAAGGACCTGGTGACCAAAATTTACTAAATATCATTTCTAAATATTTCTCTCAATGATTTCAATTTACATGAATTTACAATCAATACCATGGAAGAAGATAGAAAGAATATACTGAGTCACTGTATCAAAAGGAATTGGCAGACACAGAAGAATTTCATGAAACAACATATGAGCAAGAGCCTATGG